ATTAACAAAAATAAAAAAATGATATTGGCAGATAATATACTTCTACTATCATAAAATTTAGATCTTAAAAACTTAAATCTTTATTTGTAATTTATTATATTATATTATTATATAATATTTAATATATAATGTTAATTATATAGTATGTAATAATACTAGATGAAATTGCATGTTTTTTTTATAATGTAATGTTTAATTAAATTCCAAAATTTAAATTTTTTCTAATAATTTTATTATTGTTTAAGTTAAATATAAAAATTTCTTTATATAAAACAAAATTTATAATAACAAATTATTTTATTAATATTTTTATTCATTCCTTATTCAAGTTGATTTCAAAACATTATATGCAGCATATATCAATATTAATATCAATATATTATTGCTATTTATTATTATTATTTCATAAATAAGAAATATAAATGAACGAAAAAAAATTTATGGTTTTTATTTATATTATAAGTACATGCAAAATAAATATATGCATTTATTTTAGTGATGCTCAAATATTAAAAATAACATTTATTATTTTTAATTTGAATATTAAAAAAAAAAAATCGTGTACTGTGTGTTTTTCCATTTTGTTATTCATTTTAATAAAATATTAAGAAAATGAATAATATAACACTTATGTCAAAATTTTAATAGAATATAAATAATAATAATAAATAATAATAAATAATAATAATAATAAATAAATGTAAAACAAAAAAAAAATTTCATTGTCAATAATGATAATGATTTATGAGTAAAACAGCTACTTTTATTCTCGTATAATATATTTTAGAAGATATAAAAAGGAAACCCATTTAATCCATTTATTTTGTTTATTTTTTAATAATTTTTTTTCTTATGACAATAATACCCAAAAGCTGTAAAAATAAATAAAATCCCATAAGATATCTTAGTATAAAAAGTTATGATTTAATAAAAAACATTTTTCATAGAGAAGAAATAAAGTCTTGGGTATATCATTTATCTGCCTTTTTTATGTTTTTATATTTATAAAATACAATATGTTTGATTAGTATTGAAAAGAACTAACTAATATCGATTTTATCATTCAAATTCTCTAAATGTTGTTGCATGAAATGGTTGATTTCATAAATATATAAAATCATACATAATTGATCAAGTGATTAAATGTATTGTTAAATATTTGTTGCATATTAATTTAAAACTTAATAATTGAATACAACTTGAATAATGTTTTATTAATTATTTTATTATTATAAAGAATAATTTCAGTATTACAATGAATTATTATTTAATATTAAATTTGAATTTTTTGTTGTTTGTATAAAAATTATTTTTGTACTTTTTTTGTATAAAAATTATATATTTATAATTTATCATATGTAATATTTTATATTTTTTTTGAATTTGAATATCCAGTAATATATTATATATATGTATATATATATATATATATATTTCTAAATCTATAAAGCAAGTAGGAGAAAATTTTCTTCTTTTTTCATAAATATTTAAAAGATTTGCAGTTATTAAAA